TTGTTGCATTGAATCATAAATTTAAAATTTACAGTTGATTTAAAATATTTTTAATTAAATTAAGTTAAAAAATGTTAAAATATTTTTGTATTTTTTGGGGGGTGGGCTCTTTGGCAGGCCAGATTGAAGTCACCCTCTGGCCACATTTGGCCCACGGGCCTTGAATTTGACACGTGCTCTACAGTTAGAGTATTGTAACATGGGGAAACTAAATGTTTGTTAATGTATGTTTAGGAGTCACAAGTACCACTGAGCAAAGATGTCCTGACTATTCAAGTTTGTCTCCTGACATACTGACACCAACAAAGACTCTGATGGATTTAGTGATTTCTGGTAAATCACAGTCAGCTACATGGCTTTTATGTGTTTCTACATCATTTTAAAAAAATGACATGAGATAATCTGATGCGTTGTATCATTAGGAGAGGATAAAATACCAATCACGTCTGCAGTGAGGTTCATCAAACTGTTGTTTCAGTACAAACAGTCAGAGGCGTTCGCAGGACTCGTCAAAGAGATGCTTCACTTTCTGTCTGTGAGTAGACTGTTCGTTCTGACTCAGTAAAAAGAGCGAATGTTTAAGTTTCCACTCTTCAGACTGATCGTTTTCTGTGTTTTGATTCACTTGAAGGGATTTTGTGCTTTTTTTCTCTCTCTTTGTCAGGGTTTGACAGGCCATCCTTTCAGAAAAGCACAACTGGAGCTCACCTTCCTGTACAGTCTCAACAATCTGCTGTTAGCTCAGGAAACCYTTCCCAAAAAGACCAACATAAAACTTGGTAATAGAAATGGGAGTATTTGGTGAAAAACTTATATGTAAACTGACATAAAATGGGTTACATAGTCAGATAATTCTTAAATTGCACACTTTGTTGATGCCAAAACTGATCAGCTTGGATTGTATAAGAAAAAAGTATAAAATCATTTTGATCACTGTTTAGTTTTTGATCCAAGCTTAAGAGAATCAAATCGTAAAATACACTAACTGATGTTAATGTTTCACAAAATTTTTTACAAAATCACAGCAGCATTTATATGATTTCATAGTCGTACTTTTGTTTTTGTCATTTCACACAGCTTCCACAGATGGACAAATATCTTTTCTGATGAGCAATGAGCTCACTGTGTTGGTGGACAACTTGCACGAGTCGGTTTGTGACTCTGCTCCTGTAAGTTTTCACATTGTGTGTGATGAATGTTCGGAGTTTAGAGGAAGACCTCTGAGTTTATTATGCGCCACGTGTGCATCTGTGTGTAGGAGCCGCAGCCGGATCAAGATCTAGTTCTGCATGTTGTGTTTTTTCTGTGGGAAAAGCTGAAGGTGTTCACGCAGCAACTGGACGCTTGGGAGTTCACCCATGAGCTACAGACGATAGATAATCAAGACAAGGTATCTTTTAGAAGAATATTGCTGAAAACTGGGTTTACACATATGATCAAATCCAGAGCAGTAATTTTTCAGTTGAATTTGCTACCCTCTGTGAACATGTTTGCAGTGGCTTTGGTGCGTGTCTGAACTGTGTGAGGTAGCCCTCGCCTGTGCGCTGCCGACTGCAGACTGTATATTAGTGGCAGAGATGATCTGGACGTTGGGAAAACAACTTGAGAAAACAGCTGAGCTTTTTGATGAAACACAAAAGCCTGGTGAGAAATTAGTTTGGCGCTTGTGGACAGCTGAAATGAACAACACTCGATCCTCCTAATCCWAAACCATCAAACAAACACTGAGACACTTTACCAGACTTTTGCTGTGCCAATAATTGCTTCTCATGTCTTACATCAAGCAGCTTGTGAATGTCCTAAAACTGTGCAGCTGAGCTCGTCTGTTTTTAAGGTACGCAAACGGACCAGCTCTTTATGTGAGGCGTTATTTGATCAGTGTAGTAACTGAACAGTTCACAACAAACGATATGATGCTGCAGTGTTTATGTGGTATCTTTTATGTGTTTGTAGTCAAATGCAGAGCTGCTGAAGATGTGTAAGCTGGTGGCAAAGGGACTTGAAGCTTTGGCAAAGGCTGCATCTACGTTATATCCACAGGACAGCTCAGTAGTGACTGATTCTGCCTTCATGCAGGTGGGCTAACTCTTAACCCATGCCTTAAAACAGTACTTTGTATTGTTTGTTCAAGCTACAGTTTTGATTTTGATTTATAATATGGAAACTGCCAGATAACTGAGAACATAACTTAAAAAAATCAGCAGAAATGATCTTGTTTGTTGTTTTTATTTTATTTTATTTTATTTTTTACAGAAGTTTACACCTCTTGATCAATTGAGTGCATCTTCAGCGTTGTCAAAAGAGGAAACTGGAGCAGATGAAGTCAATATGAAGAAAGAAGAAGCAAAGAAAGCCGAAGAAGAATCAGACTTTAAAAGCTATGAACGCAGTCGGTCTTTGAATATGTTTCTGCGAACCAGAGACCTTCATCTAGAGCTGACCATCGTCCTCCACAAGGTTTCTCTCAAGTTGCTGCAGCTAAATAAAGGTTTGACATCAACAGTTTTCCAATGACAAGGTTTCCCTCTGCTTTTTCTGCTGATTTATTAAAATCAGTTATATTAGATTAAGGTCAATGTGAAGGATTTGCAAATGTGCTGATTAAAAACACATTAGGTGTCTCTGTAAATAAATTATCTGTACTATTTGGTCAAAGTGACCTCAGTACATTTCCAGGTTCCTGCTTTTTAATCAAGATAATCAAGATAGCTAATTAATATTTGCTCTGAATCCTCATTTTAGGTTATTTTACAGAGGATTTTTTAATGTAATATTAAAAAGGAAACCACAAACAAAATTTGGATACTAAGATTTATCAGGCGAAAAGAAAAAAAAAAGCTTTGTATGCTTGCAGGGAAAATCACATTTTTTGCTCAGTCATATTGTTTTGTACCCTCTGCTACAACACGGGCTTCATAAAGTTTTTTAGGTTATATTTCAGACAATTCATTCAATTTATTCATTGATAAGGTATTCATTTTATTTCAGAAAATGCATGTATTGCAAATATTGNATTTTACAGAGGATTTTTTTAATGTAATATTAAAAAGGAAACCACAAACAAAATTTGGATACTAAGATTTATCAGGTGAAAAGAAAAAAAGCTTTGCTAGCTTGCAGGGAAAATCACATTTTTTGCTCAGTCATATTGTTTTGTACCTTCTGCTACAACTCGGGCTTCATAAAGTTTTTTTTAGATTATATTTCAGACAATTCTTTCAATTTATTCATTGATAAGGTATTCATTTTATTTCAGAAAATGCATGTATTGCAAATATTGTATTTTAATATATTATTATATTTAAAAAATGCAATTATATGTATTTTATTTTAAAGCACTATATGGCCTATTTCTCCACAAAACACTTTGAGACTTAATCCTCAGTTTGATGAGATGGCTCCCATTTGTTTCTGTTGTTTCTGCTCATTTTTGTCTGCCAGTTGCAGAACCTGATCTGTTGGATTGGATCAAGAAGAACAATGTGTCCAAAGCTCATTTCCTCATCCAGAAAGCCTCATTGGAGTACAGCACTGGAGAGCCAAATGAAAGGAGCAAAATCCTCCCATTTTTAGAGGTCTCTAAAACATAATGTTTTACACACTCTCACCAATTATGTAAGCCTATGATATGATAACAAATTGGGTGTATATAAGGGATAACAGCAATGCCTGTTTTAATTTGAAATCAACAGGTTTGGGTGTAAATATCATCCATATCTCATTAGGTCTCTCTCAGTTTCCAGCTGAAAAAAACTTCTCAGGACCATGGTATTCAAGTTTAAAGGTTTATAGAAAAACCTAAAAAAGTACATATATCTACATAATCCAGTGCAGACAAAAGTAAAATGTTTCTTTAAATGAGGAACTGAGAGAGACATAAAAAAAAAACCCTTTTCTGGCTCCAGTCCTGTCCAAAGCCCCGCCCCCTCCCTTCTCCCATCCTTAAGTAACTTCTTATGAAATATCTATTTAAAAAATATTATTGAAAACACACAAATATTAACTATATTTATTTATTAACTATATCCATCGTAATATTTCTTATTTTAACCTCTTCAGCTTTAATAATCAAACAAAAGGGCATTTAGTCTCCCACACTCAGTCCTGCATGTTTTGTTACCACGGTCTAAAGATTGAAGTTAATTATAAGAAGTTTAATGACTACTCAGTGGGTGTGTTAATGTGTCCTTGATAGGAGGCATCCATGCTAATAAAAAAAGCAGAGATGGAGGAGAAGAAGTTGCACATGACCGTACTTAAGGCTCAAAAGGAAGCTGAATCAGTGCCAGGGAAAGATAAAAAGCCTCCTCCAGCTCCCACGCTTGTCTGTCGCACCGACCATGCCTTAACTTTTGCCCRGGCTCCGTACAACTCAGAGGGGCAGGTGAGGTTTGCTTTCAGAGTCTCTCCTGAACATTTTAATCTAACAAAACGAATCCACACAACTTAACTCTTTTTACATTTGTGATTTTTTTTTCTGCAGGTGAGCTGGTATCAGCTTTGTGGGCGAGTGGCCGAGGGCGTTGACTTGAAAGTGCGCCTTGGCGACCACAGCATACCAGGAACTGGGATTATGGTGCCTTTTATTTATTAAATGTTTGCTTCATAATTTGTCTTACATGTAAATAATATCAATTTTGACGTTGTTTTCAGGTACCAGTAGTTTCAGGTGAGTGCTTCCTAAAGGTGGAGGGTCTACAGCCCAACCAGAAGTATGTGTTCGCTGTGGCAGCGTACGACGACAAAGCCGAGCTTCTGGGCAAAGCTATAGGGGAGACAACCGCACCTGTGCTGGCATCTATGCCTGTCCCACTTCTTCCAACGTGGGCTCATTTGGCTCAGGTTTGCTGCACACCAAGTCAAAATTAAAGTCAAACGGGAAAAGCAGGATTGTGCATGTACATGTAGCTTTGTTTGTTGATGCTTTCCTAGGTGGCATTTCAAACAGAGCAGTACACTGTGGCTAAAAAGGCCTGCAGTAAACTGTGGAGCCATTATACTGACTCAAAATCAACCTCTAACAGCTCACAGGATAGATTTGCTGCAACAGGGTGAGGCTGAAATCACAATCCACACAGATCAAATTGCTTTTTGTCTTTTTTGATTTATTTCTTACTTTCTTTTTTTTTTTTCAACTCACCCTCCTCCAGGCTGCACATGGCAACCCTACAACACTCCTCTCCTCATCTATGTCAGCTGTTCATGACCTCCGTCTTTATTGAGACAGAGATCAACATTCAACAGGAATCGCTCTACTCGTTCAGCAGCGGTGGAAAATTTGCCGGGGAGCAGGTAAAAAAAACTGTTCAGATAAGTGAAGTCTGTATTGTAAATATTTCTTTTTCAGCTCGTTTTGGTTGTGATCTTTGCAGCTTATAATTAATGATGTTATATTACGCTGATAAATGTCTTTCCACAGAAAGCCAGACTGTCAGAGTGCYAGCGAATGTTGGTGGTCATAGACATGGCGAAGTGTTTAAAGGATGGCAAGACTGCAGTGCAGGCTGTGGTCACCTGTTACAGGCTGTTAGCTCCGCTCATGTTTCACCAGCTCGTTTGTGATCCTGCAGTGCAAGTATGCAAAAATACATAAATTATATTTAACTCCTAGCACTGCAGAATGTATGCACATTTAATATAAATTACAATAATCCTGTTTGTGTTTGTGTTTGAATGTTTAGGTGCTAAAAAAATGTTTGGTAGTTTTGGAGGAGAATTCATTCCTTCTGAAACATAAATGGGCTGAGAGCATTTCAGAGTCACTCATACACATGGTCGCCTCCATAACCTACTACCTGTCTAAGGTGTGTGTACAGTTTGAATATGTCTCCGTGTGTTTCCTACAATAACTACTCCAAATGTGCTCTTTTTGCAACAAAATAACTTGCACGTATAGTTCAAGATGAGACCCAAACAGGACTAGCACACAGTTAATTTGTTCCTCCTTCAAACGCCTCTCCACAGGTTTTACATGTGTTGAAGAAAAACCAGACGGCTGCTGCAGTGATGGACTGCGGTCGCAGGCTGCTTCAGGAGATCCATGATGCTCATCTGAAAATACCGGTATGTAGAATTTCCAAACAAGCTGAGGTTGTAAAAAACAGCAAAAATATATAAATTTATATCATTATTCATCGTGACTGATGAGTTAATTTAAATATGAC